TCACTGTTTTTCGCCCGGCGGATTGATTTTCGCCGACAAAAACGGCTCCCGTTTGGGGATCCAGCGTCGGACTCCAAACGGGGGTCAAGCCGCTCGGACACAAGCAAAAAATCAAATTGAGACTGAGTGAATGACCTCTATTTTGGGGTCCGTTTGGAAAACGGGGGTGCTCTTCCCACCAACAAGCAGAGTTTCCATCCTTCCCATGATGATTTGGGCACACTGCCCACATGGCGTCCGCACTCGTGGAAAAAAGAATTCCATGGGTTTTGCAGCGCCGCGAGCATGTTCTCCATGCGAACACGAATGTCGACACATGTTTTTGAACTGGGGAGGCTCTCTGTGGCGAGACCGGTTTTTGCTAGAGTTTTTGGACCGCAAACTGGTTTCCAGAAAAATTTTCTTTTTCCATCTCTTGAAGGAGCAAAAAGTTTGGAAAACCAATGTGATTTGAGAATTGGGAGAAAGTATTTGGCGTGCATGATGTTCTTGATCGAAAACAATCAAGCTTACAGATCAATGGTCAGCTGCTTGTCTCAGCAGTCTGATTGCGGCACGCTTGGCGCATGTTTGTTTGAGAGGGAAGAAGAGTGGAAAGGATGTTGAGCGAAGGTTTGGCGCAGTGGAGCCGTGGTTGGGTCAGTGTTCAGGAGCCATTTCTGGTCGTTCAGTATGGCAAGGAATCCTTGTTTCATTGCATTTGACGTTGTTGTTTGATGCATGTTGTGAAAGATGGGCTGTTGAAAAGATATTGTTGAGGTTCGTGCTCACGTTCTTGGTGTTTGTTGCAAGCTACGCCAGGCTGACCGTCCAGATTCCGGTTCCATCTTAAGAATCGTTTGAATTTTTCCTTGCAACGTTTGGGTTTTTGCGACTACAAACAAGCTCTGGGTTGGGTCGGACAATCCACAAAAAGCGCGGTGCAGGTGTCCAAAGACAAATTGCATTTTCGGGTGAACTTGTGGCATTTTGGGGTCCAAAAACACCATCAAAACCTGTCTCGCCACGCAGGAGCCTTAGCCTTCCCAGTAAGGCGGAAGCTTGAGCTTCGGTACCTTCGGCGGAGGGGGGGTCAGGGAGGGAACCTTCGCAGGGGCTTAAGGGAGGGCTTGAGCCCCGTCGAGGGGGGGCTGAAGGTCCCACGTCCAGCCTCGGTTTGGTTTTTCCTCTTTCAACATGCAGAGTTTCCCTTTTAGAAAGATGACCTGTGCATTCCGCATGCAAAAAAACATGTACTGCAACCACCGTGCTCGGCAGCTTGACTATTTGCAATTGATTGCAATCGCCATGTCTCCCGTTCAACGGTGTGCAGAGTAGGCTCTGCCCCGACGTGTCGTGCCGCAGCACAGATGAGAAAGCATTGGCTGGGATCACCCCAGCAGCATTTGGTGGGATTCGCACCGCTTTCGGGCAATCTTCGTGTTGTGATCACAAGTTTGGAAGCACTTTTGGACAATCAGGTGGAAATGCGTGTTTGCCCAAAGGGCCTCCTGGGTTGGATCGCACAGGGCCTCCTGAGTGTGCGGGTGCAGGAGAGTGAGTTCACAAAAAGGTTTCCAAGTGACTCACCTCTGGAAGTTTTTCAACAAGGAAGTCCTTGAGCATGTGGTTTATTCCCGGTGCCTTGTCAATTCTACGGAGGAAACCCCTGACTTTGGTTTGTATGATTTCGACTTGCACCCTTGCATTAGCTTACAATGCTCTCCAAATGCAATTACGTCCACAGCGTTCTGACTCAGGACGCTTCGCTGCCTGCAAGAAAGAGCCAGGAAAGACGTGAGACCCACAAATAAAATGCAGCAAAGCAACAACTCGCGGTCAGATGAGCTGAGAGCCGGTAATTCATTGCCCCTGTTTCACCTTTTCATTTTTTGATCGACACGGCCGCTCGAGCTGCATACCAGGTTGCGGTGTTGGGGTTTGTTTGGTTTGTTGGTTCTTTGTGTTGGGCTTTGTTGCTTCTTCGATCTGAACAAAACAAGCGCAATGCATACTTGCCTTTACTCCTATAGGCATAGCTGTTATGGAGTGACACACGCCAGGTTTGCAATAGGTTTTGCTCAGGGTGCAAGCAGCCAACCTTAGTTGGTGGCCCAGCCCGTTCGCAAGTCCAGCCTGCTCCAGAGAAGAGCACCTCGATGTCCTTTCTAGCAGGATGTGATGATCCATGGATGCCTTCCACTGACACAAGCATGCAGCATCATGACCTAGATTTGGTTGATGGCTTCGGCCAGGAGGGCGATCAAGCACACCCTATGTCCATGCTAACGCAGGGTGGATCACCCAAGCCAATGCACACACCTTTGTTCATGGCTGCCCAACTACCAACCATAGTAAAGTTTGAGGCTTACCAAGCTCTTCGGGCACCTAGCACCACGCGAGCCTATTTTGGACTTGACCACACCTCAGGCCAATGCAAAACAGGAGGTTCGGTCGCAACAAGAGACGAAGATCCAGGGTACGCCGCTGCTGACCTTTCAGGGCATGTCCCGGATCACGTAGCAGTCATTCGATGCCTCTTACAACACAAAGACCTTATTGATAGGAACGACATGATTTATTTGACTTGAGTTACTGGCCAGGAAGAAAGAACCAGGGAAACAAACAGAAGACAAACAACCCCAAAAACCGCAACGGAAACCCAAAAACAGAAAGGGGGCAAACTTCCTGGCCACGTCGCAACTCAAGTAGATCTTGCAAGAGTGAGACGAAAGAGAAAAGGTGAAACAAGGGGCTGCGAATTAAGCAAAAGGCCTCTCAGTACTTCTTGCGTGTGTTCTGCTATGCGAGGACTATTCAAATGTCGGACATCAGCATCGCGAAGTGCTATGGTGCCTTAGCGCTTTTGACGTGGCGCATGGCACCTGGCCTGGGTATGCAGGCTGCGGAGTTGTGTATGTTTTTTGGCGAGAGGCTTGTATAACCACGCTGCTGGGTCACCGTAAGCATGTGCGAGAGTCATTGAGTTCGGCGACAGAGCCTTTGCTGAATGCTGTTCGCTACAATGCATTGGTGTACAGGATGACGACAGCAACATCCTTGCCCCGGGGGCAGTATTAGCTCCGCACTTATTTGAACACTGCTTAATGCTCTCTCAGGTGACGCTGTCGCGGTGCACTGCAGAGCAGAAACTACCCGCACCGTTCAAGTACCGCGGACCACGTTTCAGCTTCTCAGGGCTCCAGAGCCTTAACCTCCTACCGGAAACCACCTTTCTAGGTTTAGCATGTGGGAACTGCAAGATCCTAACTCACGTAGACCTCTCGTGCACCGCGATTTGTGCCATTCATGAGAGCACCTTTTCCCATTGCGTGAGCTTGCTTCGAAAGACATTACGAGATATTCACAAGAAGGCCTTCATGGCCTGTTGCAGCCTGCAAAGTGTCGACGTGCCACTTACCCTCCGCTATGGTGCGCATAAAGCCTTCTTTGACTACAGTCAGTTAACACACCTTGCGCTCATGGCAAACGGACTACATGGAGAGTTTCGATCTTTGCGGAATGCACAAGTTTCGATCTTTGCGGGTGTTTTGCTGTCCCGAGCTGGCTCCACATGCTCCCCCGAGAAGACCAGAGCGCACACCACACAAACGCATACCAACGAAGCCATGCGTAATGGTGGATGCCAGGTCTGATCATTTGAGATCTTGGGCCTCCCTTTTTCAGTCTGGACCTTCAGGATGCTCAGACCTCCATACATGCTTTCCTCAGCACTATGGCACCTATCGCCGGTGGCGAGTGGCTTTCGTCATGTGAACAATCTGAACCAGTGGCTCAAACACCATGGAGGACTTGTCAGTCTGAGGAAATGCTGATCTTCCAGTTTCGGGCATTCAAACTATCCTGATCGTGCGGGACTTGAAAGCAATATCAAAGATGCACCCGAATCAGCCAAGTGTTGTCAGGTCTTTGGATGACTATTGAGATGATGAGGACACGATTGTTTATGATTATTTAATTGTTTTTCACTTTGTCTTTTTCAGCAGGATGCAATGCTCATCACATTGAAACCTGTTCAGGTGGCATTGAAATGTTCATAACACGTGCAGATTTGCATCAATGGAGCCATCAATTTTCATCAGCTTTCAAGTCTTACACAGTAAACTGACGATATGTTTTTTGCAACAAAATTCCTGCAAAAAATAGAAACGTTTTTTGCCACGCAAAGACAGCTTATGGCTTTGCAATTCTTTTCGCCGTTCTGTCGCTCTGCGCTCTTTTTTTTCTTATTTAATTCCCATCATTGCAGCATGTGCCTCGTGAGACCCCTCTTGATCAATGACATGAAACCTGAAACATACCGGCGGATACCGACCTGTCAGCCTCAGCTGCATTTCCGCTGCAGAAAACTTTGTTGATATGCATATTGTTCCTGATTGAAACCACAATTGCACTTGCCAGAGGACATGCAATGAGCAAGGTCAAGTCTGTGTGAACATGACATAGACTGCATTTTTGAGATTCCGGCGGGGTCTCAACATCTGCTTTTGTCACTTTGCCTCCTGTTTCCTATTTTGTCAGCTCATACAAAACCGTACAAATTTCACCTGATGTGTCGACCGGTTTGTCTAAATCGTTAATTCCTTCTAAGGGCAAATTTTATGTTCATTTTCATGCTCTCAACTTCAGTTGTGATGACCGCAAAATTTAGGTCCCTCTCAGCGTAGCCCAAAATGCACACGGTTACGTTTTCGGATCTAACCTTGACCTTGTTGTGGAAATTGTACGTTGTGCAGCCTGCAAGCTGCTACTTGAGTTTTTTGTGTTGTCAACAGCTCTCTTTTGGGTTTGGTGATCCTAAACCTTTACATGTGCCAAGGCTAGTGCGTTCCATTCTGGCAGCTGCAGTTATACAATTGCCAATCTGTAGACAAAAGTCGCATGGCCAAATGAATGATGTTTAGATTCAATAGTATTTTGTGTGTTTTGTGTTCAAAAAGGCACATACACTGCCAAGGCCCTGTGCTTGTTTTGCGAATGCTTGTTTGCATGCTTTCCGCAGTTTGGCCCTGTCAGCATCTTCCAGCTTTGTATCCCTCTTGTGGTGCCATGCAAGTGGTTGCATTAATTGCATTCCATGTCTCCTTGGTGCAAAGTGCTTGGCACGCCAATCTCTTCGAGACATCAAGGATGATGCAAGCTTTCACACAGATCAAGGACTATGAAAACGAATTTGGTTCCGAAATGAACGTCCCAAGCATTGTGGTGATTGGAGTGGAAAGCGCTGGCAAATCCACCCTGCTATCAGCCATTGTCGGAGTTCCTCTGACCTTCACCCAGGGCAACACCGGGACACGCTGTCCGGTGCGCTACCGTCTTCGCTATGGTGAAGATGCCAAAGACCCTGAAGTCAAAGTTATGGGACAAGTCGCTTGACACATTTACTGGCAGCTTTTGAAGATTGTGGAAGAGGAACTGGCACTCGGTTTGGCCGCAACAAGCGCAAAACTTTGCCTGTAGGTCAGTCTGCTGTGTTCGTGTGACTAAGGTCATCCCTCCTGAAAAATTGCCAGAGAAGGTTCAGCTGCACATGGAGTCTTTGGCTGGCACTTTTCGTGCAGATACCTTCGACGTGGAGATCACCTCAAGGCTGGAGAATTCGATGGATGAGTAGATTGTATAATGCCGCCAGTTTTGTTTGTTGCTTCGAGCCAACAGTTTTAGCAAACTTGAAACTTGAGTGAAGCGATGAAAAAGCGATTCGTGAGAATGAGAACCGTAGCGACATGTCAGGCATGTACCAGACTTGGAGATGATTGACATGCCTGGCATCATTGCCCATCCGAATCCCAAGGATCCTGCTGAGATCGCCCAGGTGCGAGTTTCAAGACATGCTTTGCCTCAGTACCGTCGCATTTGCACGGTTCTCCCAGATTCAACATGCCCCTTTGCTCCCTTGATATTCTCCCAACTGCCAGGCCGAGGAGGTCGAGAGGATTCAAGCCAAGTTCGTTCGAAACCGAAACATGGCCATTGTCGCAGTGGTGAAATGCACTGAGAGGTTCAAGACAATAGCTGACTTCAAGTTTTTGGATGATGTCGCAACGAAGGAAGGACTTGTTGACCTCCCGCCCAGGCCACACACCTCACACAACCGACTGACAGCTCCTTGAGTTTGGACATGACTTGACCTCTAGAGGGTACTTGTTTGCTTTTCAATTGCAAGGACCTTTGTTTAGTCATGAACATTAATTATATCCCATCGACAAAATCATTGGCCAGGTGGGTTCGAATGTCAGAATTTGTTGCCCTCAGGCGAGAGTGGAGGAGCCAGGTGCTTATTGTAGCCAACAGGCTCAACCAGCAGGTAGACACTTGGTCGATGCAAGTTGCAAATTCATATTTTGCGGAGGCGCGGGAGCAAGGAAATACATACAAAGGCATATTCTTTGTAGCTCTGCGGCCGCCAGTTGCTGGAGTTGTCGACCCTGACGCTGCCCCATATGACCAAAAGAAGGCTTACTACGAGAAATTGGAGGTTGTTGAGCACCAGTGGCTTCAGGGTTTGAAGCAAGCCATGTCAAACAAAAGTTCTGGTGTGCCTTGGAATCCAGCAAATGACGGTATGTTTGGACTTGCCAACGTCAAAGACAGCATTGTGAACACTTGGAGAGAGGGGTTTCTGGCAAAATTGCCGTCTCTTTCTAGCAAGATCGAGAAGGAAAGGCAACATTCCAAACAAAGAATGCATGAGCTTGAAGAGAAATTGCGTATGGTAGACCTAAAGCTTTTGCGCCAGAAAATGAAAGACTTCTTGGCTGACTTTGTCCATCGGTACCAAGCCTTGGCAACAGGGCAAGCTGTGAAGGACTTGCAAGGCCGAGATGTCACAAGCTTCAAGCTCTCACGCATGCACATCTACGACCCAGCACGCTATGGCAAGACTTTCGAGGAGGAGATGAAAATGACTCCAATTGACAAGAGCAGGTGTGGGTGGCTTCTGACTTGGGAGGAGTTGCTTTCAGACCAGAGGCTTGGAGCACAAGACCAGCACCTCGGAGAGAAGTTGAGTATGCAATACCTCGGCATGGCATCATATGAACGTTCCTTGAAGATCATGGAATACATGATGATCGCGCGGAACTTCGATCATGTGTCTGACGACAATATCCGCATCATGGCACGAGGGCATTCCAAATATGGCACTGGAGCATTCCCGTCCAATGTCCCTTGCTTGCTGAGACAGCTAGCTTTACATCTATATAACTTTCCTTGAATATCTAGGAACCATTTTGATGGTGAGGGTTCTGCTAAGAGTCCTCTTACTTACTTGCTTTCTTGCCTCCCCTACCACTGAACCCATCACCTACCGCCTATAAATGAGAACAGCTTCATGTTCCGAACTATGTTATATGGCATAGTGCTAAATTATGTAACTTGTTTGATCACATCTGCCTAAGGAAGTGGTGCTTCAAATCGCCTCCGACCAGGTACACCAGCTCAATGGAGGAGTAGAATGGTACACGGATTTTCTACAGGCCAACTTTGTTGACTACATGAACCCAGTCATGGAGTACATGAGCCATTCTACTCAGTACGGCATGGTGACGTCATCAGACAAGTTTATGCTGAAGCTGCGACAGCACTTTGAAGGTGTGGTAGCGAGGCGCATCAGTGGTGTCGTTGAGATGTATGGAAACGATGTCCGTCGGTACACACGTTTCCGTGCAATCGATGTGATCACCAAGCTTCACATGGCCTCTGCAATGCTTCCCATGGAAAAGATCATCCCCACCGAGGCCATGTTGCTTCCGGAGCCTGCAATGGCAACGAAGGTGTCAACTCAATCTTCTGTCCGAACGCAAGGTGAGTACGTGATGCCCGTGAACAGTCCAAGACAGAAGAAGGTGGTTGCTGAGCGCGAGCTCAAAAAGTTGGAGGCCATTCGAAGCATGTCAACATGTCAGTGTCATGACCCAAAGTTATTCAACATTGGAGACTTTGTTCAGGGAGGGTATGCGCAAGTCTATCCGATGGAGTGGTCGATGATTGACTTCGACTACTTGCGGAACACTGCCTACCAGTACTACGTGCGAATTGCAATGATCCTCTCTGAGCTTCTTCGTGCTACACTTCATTCTGAGTTTCTGGACAATTTGCTGGATACCAGCGAGAAGACCTTGATGAAAGACATCTTGAACATTGAATCTGAGCCGCTTGTTGGCATCTGTCTTTTGTGTTTTTTTTGTTGTACCAGTGTCTTAGCTTCCCCCCTTTGGCACAAGCGACTAAGGATTCAAGAAGAAGAGCTGAAAGAAATGGTCCCAGTGAACCCAGATATGTTGACCCAGAAGCTAAATGACGAACAAAACAAAAGCCAACGACTTGGCTTTATCAGTCATACCTTGGGACAGCTCCGTGCAGACATCAGGAGTCATGTCGAACCCAGAAAGCCCATCGTCCACAGCGGAAGCATGTTGGACAACAACACAAGTGAGATAAACGATATCAACACAACAGTCAACACCACCGTCACAGCTTGCTCTTCTGAATGGTGCCAGCCCGGGGATGAAGATGATGAAGATGATTCCGTTATGTAACTGTGGCATGTGGGAAGTTACCATCAGAGCACTACAGATAATGTGCTCTTACTTTGAAACCCATGTGCAAATTTTGGGCCAGCTAGCTCCACTTCTTCAATATGTTTCTGAGAGCAAGTCAGTCCACATGTTCACCTTTGTTTTGATTGCTTGCTTGGCCAGTACATGCAACGCCTTTGCAACAAAAGCTTGCAGAGGGCTTGGTAGCAGGAACAGGCAGTTGAGTGAGCTGAGGAGACCACCTGAAGTCGATTTGTTGCCGAGCTCCGTTGCGCATTCCTTTTTGTTGGATGTATGTACATGATTTGAAGGCGCCTAGCAGTGCACAAGTGCTCAGCAGTGCTCAAGCAGCGTGATCAGGAAGTCAACAAACACCAGGACAAGTCCTTCCAGCGAGAAAGCATCACCCGCGACTGCAAAACAACACCTTGCAAACCATGAGTGCAACTCCGAAACAGGTTGGCAACATTTTCCTATGCTGCGCTCAGCCAGCATGACATCTTCGAGAGTTGGAACGACCCTGGCATTTCATGCCCACTTCATGTGAATCACCACCATGGTGACCAAAGTGGCCTGGCATCATTCTGGATCGCTTGAATCATGCAATTCTGTGCAGACCCGGTAGGTACGTCTTTTTTGCTCTAGATAAATTGGATGAACGTTTGAGATTGACGGGCGACCCAATCGGTGCTTGTAGTTAGGAAAAGGCAGAGGAGACAGATGTGGAGGCGCCTGCAAACTGACTGAATGAACAAGACACAAAGGAACCTTGTCATACTCATACGCATTGTTTGGCTTGCTTGCTTTGACCAACAGCTAGCACTGTCAGTGCTGGCACGGAACTGCGATATATTGTGAACAGTATTGTGACTTTGTCTAACTTTGTTCTCAACAGAGACATTGGCAAGGAAGTCCTTTGACCATCTTTGACCATACGCTGGCAACTACTGAAATGAGTTTCTCAGACATTCTTTTGTGGAATGGCAATATCGCACGTATGCTTTTGATTTGCGCACGTTGCACGTTTAACAGCCTACTGACTAGCAATGTGCAGGTGACAGGGGTTGCCTGAGTCACTCGTTTTGCTCAACTTTTCTTGTGGTTAAGTTCAGTTGACAGAGTTTGATGTTGGATGTGAAGGCCAAAGCAAAGCGGCCAGGGCACCCTAGACAGCATCCGTCATTTACGCTGTGGGTCAAAGGCTCAGAAGATTGTTTGGCTGAGCAGAGTTGGAGTGAGGCCGCGCACAGATGGCGCGGGTGCGCCACCACTCTTCTCCAATGGAGGCTGCATAGATGCATGTGATGCGATTGTGTTCAATGATTCTGTTCGTACTGGCACACAGAGATGGTCGAAACTCGCTTTGGATCAAAAGTGTGGTCTCCAAAAGGTTTTGACTTGCAATGCAAGGCTATACAGAAGCCGCTGATGGCTGGTGGGCACATAGTGGGGGTGAGTATCGGGCTCAGAGTCAAGCACACAACTGGCAATGAGCTCTGCTACTGAAGCAAGAGATGAGACACATCATCCCGAGGTGGCTGCACAACAAAAAGGAGATGGCGTACTTTCACTTGCACGGTCCTCAGTGGCACAACTGACAATCTCATCTTTAAAAAACAGGTAAAGCAGTTCTTCGCCGCGGATTATTTTTGTTTTTGGTTGATATATACACATATAATCACGTATATATATATATATTGATCAATATCTCGTTCTAATATGGTACCAAGGCCAACTGGACAGCTTCGGGTGGTGCTCGATGATGCCGAGGTGATCGGTTTTGGCTACCGAGGTGATCCGTTCTTCTTGCTCCGTTTCGAGGCTCCGAGCCAAAATGAGACGAACCAGAATGGCAAGGAGCAGGAGATAAGCAGAGACATTGGTCGCTACTAATGGAACACTGGCAAATCCCGGGCTCTCGAGCACCAGATTTGAGCACCAGAGGAGGATGAGGGCCCACTTCTGCGTGGTAAAGTAAGATGGCCGGGAAGCCAAATTGACTAAGTCAGCTGCAACAGCAATCAGCTGCACAAGACGCCAGGCCATTAGGCGAGCGTTTTGGTTTGATTCAGGTTTAATGCGAAGAAGGGTTTTGGTTTCATTGAGCCCTTGGATGAAGCAGCCAATGTCCTGGAGAAGGCCTTTTCTTTCTTTCTTTCTTTCTTTCTTTCTCTTTCATTATCATTCATTTTTTCCATTGCTGATACATGGCATGGCGATTTGTGGAGTGAAGAAACAATTGTTTCGATGTTTCTCCCTGCAGAGAACTTGATGTTTCTCCCCGACATTTTCAGCAGACTGATGGTGATTTGCCTCTCTGCATCCAGGACCTTTTTGTGCACCGAAACCAGATACTCTCAGGCCTTGGTATTCTGCTTTCTGTGTTTTCCAGATGACTAGGACCGTGTTTTGCGTGATGATTCTCGTTTACTTGTGTGCAAGAAGATCTAAGCTTCGACCTCTTCTAGGTGCAGAGAAGCCGGAAGAGGGTGAAGCAGAAGCCTTTGCATCTCTGGAGGCACCAAACTCAACAGAACAAAACGGGGTCAGCTCTTGGATCTTGACCGATACAGCTCTTGGCTCTTGTCTTCAAGAAACATGCAAAATCACGGAGCTGATGGCTTCAGACTTGCTTGCACCTTTTTCGGCTCTTATTATATAGGTTGGAGGCCATTGCTTCTAGGTTGGAGGTCATTGCTTCTATTGCTTCTAGGTTGG